AGATTAATTTCATGGCCTATAGATAAAGATAAAGATTAAATAATTAATTTTTAAAAAATTAAAATAATAAAATTTAGATAAAGATATGATTTGTTAATCTATATATCTATCAAAAACATATATATTTAAATCTTTATTTTGATTTACTCTTTTTTTTTTCTCCTATCACATATTATCTTTTTTTATTTTAAATTTTCGATTTTGGCTCTCCCCATCTTTGGCATTATACAAAAAGTCGTTCTCAGGACCCTATCTAAAGTGTGTCCACCCCAGCAAAGTGGAAGCATTCTTATACGAGATACACGAAGGGGTGTGCGGAAGCCATCAAAGAGAAAGATCGCTAGCTTACAGGGCCATTTCACAAGGATACTGGTGGCCATACATGCAGGCAGACTCAGAGAAAATTTTCAAAAAATTAAAATAATAAAATTTAGATAAAGATATGATTTGCTAATCTATATATCTATCAAAAACATATATATTTAAATCTTTATTTTGATTTACTCTTTTTTTTTTCTCCTATCACATATTATCTTTTTTTATTTTAAATTTTTTATCTTATGAATTGCTCTTATCTACTTTTTATCTCCTATTAAATTTTTAACCTTCTCTTGATAATTTTTATTATTCGTTATTATCTACCAAATGATAAAGATTATTAAAAAAAAAATTATCGCTCTGAATAAGAATAGTATTAATAAAGAAATAATAAAGGCTACATGGGAGAAGGTAACACAAAAATCTCATAAAATTAATTTTCTTCACTACATTTATAGAAGGTAATAATTTGAGATTCTTTCTATTAGTTATTAAAAATAATTTGCATTAGATCATTGTTATGTTTTTTTTTAAAATTTTTTTATAAGGCTATCATTCGTTATAGTATTTCTCTAATCCTATCTCTAAATTCTCTCTTTGAAATTTTTGTTTTTTTAATAATTAAGTTTAGAATCAATTTCTTATCAAATTTGTTTTCTTGATCCTTATTTTATTAAAGGATCGAGACGAATAAAACTTTCATATAATATATGAAATTAATGAATATAATGCAAAGATGATAGGGAAGTACTACATATTTGTCAATATCTCTATGTTATTATTAGTTGATTTTCTAGATTATACTATCAATTTAGAGTCCATCTGATTTAATTCAATGTTCATGACTCTATTTGTATTTGACCATTTTTTCGTTGAGTAACTGATATAATTTTTTTTTGGGTATATAATGATTAAAGCTATCATTTGTCATATTTTTTCAAGTGCAATTCAAATAATTTTTTATCATTTTTTTTATCACTAAAATGGATTAAAACTATTCTCTTATATAATTTTTATAATACTATGACATTCTTATCTTGATTAATTTTTTTAAAATGACGTAGGAACTATGCAAGTATTATTCAAACTATGGAGAATGATTTATACTTTGATATGATATGAGTGCGTCATTGATAGAGGAAATCAAAGATAGAGAGTTGCTAATATAATCAATTAATGATTTGTTTGAGAAGTTCTTTTTATAAGCAATGCAACAAACTTAGATTAAATTTTTTTAAAAACTACTTATAAATTATAATTAAAAGTTGATATTTATTCATAATTTGATCTCACAATAATAATATACACCGCTGATTTAAAAGTCCAAGTAAATTTATGATAACTTTTCTGAGCTTATAGAATTTCTCTCTTTTAATGTTTTGTTTAGTTTGATACAAGTTATTTATGTTATCAAGTGATTGTGATACACCTCAAAAAAGGAACTAGAATTTGGATGTGGTATTCTCTAAAACCTCTCTCTCTCTCTCTCTCTCTAAAAACCTCCACCCCCGGGCCTCACTTTTGGCTGGCCGACCGCCACCTTTGGCTATGGTAGTCGGCTGGTCCAGCTTCCTCTTCTGTTTGTGTGTTGTTCTTTCCATATAATAACTTGATTCCCACAATGTTTTCCCACTTAAATGTGTTTCGGTGCTGCTGGTCCAGGTCCCTTTGGAGTTGTATGTTTTGTTTTCACCAGGGGTGCTTGGTATAGGGGTCAGAACAGAGTAGATGGTGGCCGATTTTGGACCGGAATAGAGGTTGTTCTAATCTGGTTAGGAGTTTCATTCGGGCACTCCTGTGCACGTGGGAGTTTGAGAGATGAATGTTGGTTCGGATCTATGGAGATGCTTCGATCCAGATCTAAGATCTAAGAGTCCAGATCTAGATCCAAATCTTCGATCCAGATCTAAGATTCCATTCGAGCGCTCCTTTTCAAGTGGGTGTTTGAGGGTGTACTTCATCCAGTTGTATCTAGTAGGTGTGTTCGGAGTTTGGTTCAGAACAGAGGTGTCCGACCATGGATCTGGAGTTGGCAGTGGGTGTGTTCGTGTTCGGCGTTGGGTGTGTTCGACCATAGGGGTGGAGAAGTGGAGTTGGCAGCGGGTATTGGCGTGGAAGTGGGTCTCGGCGTTGGGTGTGTTCCGATGCATTGAGTGCTCGGTAGGTGTTCAGATGGGTGGCGTGGTTGGTAGAAGCAGGTTGGCTAGCAGGGGAGCTGCCGTGGGTGTGAGAAAGAAGAAGATATTGGGGTTTGGATCTGCAGTGGGTTTGGGTTCTGCTCTGGGTATGGGTGGCTCGGTTGGCAATGTGAGTTAAAAGAGGTTGCTATCATGGAGTTAAAAGATGGTTTCATAGGTTAGGAGGTTGGTGTACCAGTGTAAAGACGGACCATTGTGGAGGATGATAATGGAGGCAAGAGCAAGGTGGTAGGTGAGTCCGCAAGGGGCAACAGCAGAGTGGAAGAAGGGGCTGATGATGGTGAGTCAGTAGAGGTAGGGGCTGATGATGGTAAGTCAGCAGAGGTGTGGGCTTTGGGTGGCGTGCGTGGATCTTGGCTGTTCAGCAGCATGGGAGTGCAGCAACATTGGGTGTTGTTTTGTTTAGTCTGGCTGTTTAGTTTGGCTGTTTTGTTTAGTTTGGGTTCGGGTTGTGTGGGTTGATGTTGTGGGGAGTCTTGTATTTTGTTTTATAGTTAAGTTCTTCTTAACTTTTTTGTTTAAAAAAAAAATAAAAAAAAATCGTGAGGTCAAGGGGTTGATTGTATGGATGCGAGTAGCAGTAGTAGGGGTATTCTGTACTTTCCGAATCTCTCTCGATGCATGTCATCTGCCTGTACCTTTAATTTCATGCTGTTAATGAAATTTTTCTTTGCTGATCAAAAAAAAAAAAAAAAGTGATTGTGATACTATTATTCTCAACAATTTTTATAATTAATAATTTCTTACGCATTTCAAATTTTATTGTAAAATTTTGTGGGTTAATTATTGTTAACATTTACCTAGATGGCTTAATATTATGACTTGTCGCTATTAAGATATAATTTAAGATTAAGATGATTTATTTATCACACAAAATATATATAGTTTATTTTTCCGTACATCGCACGAGTTACCGCTAGTATATATATATATATCAATGTTAAAATTTTAATTTGTCTTTATTTTTTCCATTTTGTTAATTGATGATTTTACACGTATAATTGAATAAAATACATAGTCCAAATCATTTAAATATGGCCCTTTGTGAGATCCACAAAACCTAATAGCAAGTTCGATCCATACAAGAGATAACCCAAATCCCATTAATAAATGCAATGGAACCCACTTGTATGTATCTAAACGTGAAAAAATAACAGAGAAAAAATTATATAACATTTTTTACGTTTTAATAAACAAATATAGTCATTATAACAATTTTGAAAATTTTGACTAATCATATCTCTTTATCATTCTATAAATCCAATCTATGAAATTGATGAGAACAATTTCACAACTTTTCTGTCTTTTCCCCTCTCACTCTCTTGGTAAACAAGGTGTCGATGGGGTAAAATAAATATTAAAGGATAATTTACAAGTATTTGTTCTAATAATCTAGTAAGATTACAACAACTTTTTATCCACAACAATATTAAATTGTACCAATTTCAAAGGTGTCATTTGTTCTAAACGTGAAAAAATAACAGAGAAAAAATTATATAACATTTTTTACGTTTTAATAAACAAATATAGTCATTATAACAATTTTGAAAATTTTGACTAATCATATCTCTTTATCATTCTATAAATCCAATCTATGAAATTGATGAGAACAATTTCACAACTTTTCTGTCTTTTCCCCTCTCACTCTCTTGGTAAACAAGGTGTGGATGGGGTAAAATAAATATTAAAGGATAATTTACAAGTATTTGTTCTAATGATCTAGTAAGATTACAGCAACTTTTTATCCACAACAATATTAAATTGTACCAATTTCAAAGGTGACATTTGTTTAGAGTCATATTTATCATTAAGTATTCATTTGAAAAAAAAAAACAATCCTAAAATTCTATGTTGAACTACAAAATTTATTTCTTGGAGATTATTAGGATTACATCATGCTTGATTATGATTAATTACACACAAATTGAGCTCAAGCGTATTAAGAATCATAACATATTATAATTAGATTATTAGTGTAAAACTTAAAAAAAAATTCAATTTGAAAATAACATAATTTGATTTGAAATTTTATTTTATTTTTACAGTAGTAATTGACTTGTTCAAAACATATACAATACAGGTGTAATGCACGGGATAAAATAAATATTTAATGAGTCCCACCCGCGTATATGCTTAGAATTTTTTATTTTAAATTTAAACCATCTTTTCGCTTTTTAAATAAAATTATAATTAAATTTTATGAGTAATTATTGTTTTTCCAAAAACAACCACATTGCTAGTTGGTGTTACAATTGAGGTTTAGGGCCACTGATTTGTATGTGTGGCCATTCCATTAACTTTTACGTCCCTAATTTTATTTTATTTTTAGCCACAAATTTTTTTTCTAGGGCCATTCAAAATTTAATTTGATTTTTTATTAAATCTGAATTTGTTGAATTCATTGCAAGTTAAAGTTTTTTTTTTTTTTTTTTTTTTGATTGACAAAAAAAAAAGAACTTTATTGATGAAAGAGCAAAGTACAAGATACATAAATAAAGAGAGGCAGGTACAAAAGCATCATGATAAGCTAAATCATTCCAACTAGGTTGGCACCAAAAAGATCATCCTATCATTTACTAGCGCTGCCTGAGTTAGTGAGCAACCAACCAAAGAGACAGAACAAAACACCTTAACAAAACAGTCCACAGCTGAGCATAGCAAACCAACACATATAAGCAAACCATATCAGTTCAATAGAGCATACCAGTAGTCCACAGTGGATCAGCAGAGCATACCACAAACACAGGACCAACAACAGAACATATCACAAAGCAAGACCAGCAGCAGCAGAGCAAACTCATCAAGCCAGATCAATGAAACATCAGCAGAGCATAACAAGGAAAATAGCAGCAGAGCAACCTCAGTTCAGCCATTCATCCCCAGCCTGCTAGTTCACCGTAATTCAATGTAATACTCTGCTACACAGCATCCCTGCTACACAACAGCAAAACAGAGCACAACAACAAACAGAACACAGCAGACCAGTGCAAAATAGGACACAACATATCACAGCAAGCAAATCAAAGCAGCAAATTAGTTGAATAGACAGCAGCAAATCATTGAACAAGCAAACAAATCATAACAGCAAATCACCTCCACTGTTTCCCCCACATAGGCCCAACACACAGACTCAGCAGAGGAACTATAAGCATCTTCTCACTTGTTGAATATTATAGACAAACTCATCCACCGCATACCTTTGCCCAAATGAATGTGCTTTCATCCAAAGGGCCACTCTAGTTTTAATTAACTCACAGAGGTCATCACAAAATGGGTTGCAAATCATTGAACAAACAATCATTCTTGCATTTCCAAAGGGACCACAAACCAGCAATCAAAACTGATCTCCATAGTTGTTTCTTTCTTTTTCTATAAGTCCACCCTATTTACTAGTGCATAAGTATGTCCACGGAGCTAGGGGCGGCCCATTGCAACCCTCACCACTTGATTATGGTAGACCATATTTTTCAAGCAAAGAGGCAGATCAATAGAACATGATTGAGTGATTCAATATCTGCATGACAAAACACACACTCATTACTGACTTCATGACTTAGGATACCAATTCTATGTAAAGAATCTGAGGTCTTTAACCTTCCTTTCCAGACTAACCAAGAGAGAAATTGGGCTTTAGGTGGAAAGGGAGATTGTGCCAGATCAAGTCAAGAATTTGTAGAGCAGGACCATTAGATGATTCACACCAGTTAACAGTGTCTTTAACACTAAAAATATCTACAGGATCAGCTTTCCATAAAATACTATCAGTAGAATCCAATCTCAATTCAGGGCCCTCACCTAGAGCATCACAAAATCTCTGTAGTTCATCTTCCTCCCATGCCAATAAGGGTCTTTTGAAATTGAATGCCCAGTTGTTCTCATTTCTGGTCCTAGACCACTGCATATGCAAGGATATGTCTCTTTTCATTGATAAGTAGTATAATCCAGGAAGTTGGGACTTCAAACAACTTGTTCCAGTTGACATTAATCACTAATTAAAATAGTCAATTCCCAAACAAGTCTTAATTGTTTGGAGAGCCTTGATTCCATGGTTATCTATCAAAGCTAGAGAGAGAGAGGGAGAGAGATTAAACAGCTTTAACATATAACAAGTTAAAACTAGAAGCACCCAGTTACAACTGCTATGAAAATTCATTACAGGTTGAACAAAAAGAAAAAAAGAGAAAAAAACCCTAATTCGATCTTGTCTTTCAATCAAAAGACATGTTCCCAATTTTTTTAAATTTATTTATGAGCTGCATGTTCCGATTACCTTTCGCTTCTTGAGTGGCTTTGATTTATCATCCATTTTTCGCTTCTTTAGTGGCTTGGATTCATCATCTATCTGCATCCAATCGTTTTTTGGTGGATCTGGTTATGGTTGTATCGGCACTGGCTGTGGTGGCTGTCGGTGTGATCGGTGTGGTGGCCGCTGAGGAGGGAGCAGTGAAAGCGGAGCTGCGGCGGTGAAGTGGTTGAGTTCCTCCTGCTTGCAGTAGAAACTCCGATGACAACCACAGGTGGCGCAGATGTAAGATTCCTGATTTTGGACTGTCGGATCAGTAATCTTCACATACAAAAGGCGCCCATCAACGGCGAGGCCAGCGGTATAGTTTCGCCTGCACTCCGTGTACCTAATCGTTACCCTAGGGCTGCTGCTGCCGTCGTCATTGTTGTGTGCCATGAGTGAGAGAGAGAGAGAGAGAGAGAGAGAGAGATAAGATGGTGGTTTCTACTCACTCTCTTGCTAGACTGGTTCTCCCTCCCTTTCTATGAGTTTTGTGAAACTGCCAAATTAGGTGGTGTTGAAACCCAAACTTGTTTACATGCAATGGAAAATGAAAACAAGTTTGTCATTATGAATGCTCTAACTGAATTGCCCAATCATTTAATTTGGAGTTAAATTATACATAAAAAAAAATATTTTTATTTTTACTTATGCCTTACTGTTTTATTATGAATTATGATATTTCGATAAATATGTCGTTCTATACTAATTAATTGTCATGCACTGATATTTTGTAAGGTATTGTTATATATTTGTATATGAGACAAGTACTTAAATATTTTTTGAATTTTTTTTTTTTGTTAGATCTCAAATGTACGTAGTATATATTCAAATGAATCTTGGGTGAAATAATATTTTCTTTTATAGAGGTTAAATTAATTTTATTAGACTTTTTATTTGTTTATTTATTTTTTTATGCTTAACATTCGAAAATTAAGTTTTAATTTGTAAGTTATTTAATATATGATATTTAATTTTGATTTATACTTTAATTTTGACATTAAATGTGAATTGTAAGTTGGATATTAACAAACTAAAAAATTTAATTAATTTTGTATTAATTAAAATTAAAATCAAATATTTTGTTATAAACGTATCAAACAATGCCGTTCTTTACTTTTAAAAATTTTGCTGTATTGATATACCTGTATCATATCAGTACTTGTTATCTATACACGTGTTTCATAGTTGTTTAGATATAAGAAAATACAAAATTTAATGTATTTTTGAATTTATTAAAAATATTAAATTTCTTCACAAATATTTAATTTTTAGATGCATCTAATTTTTTTTTTTTCAAAATACAATTTTTTTTTTTAAATAACAAAACATGATAAATAAAAATTCAAAAAATTTATTTAAAAACTTAAAACCAAACAAAGTGATTTTCCTTTTAATTTTGGGGGTGGGATGCATTATATGTCATAGTTTGCATTATGTGCTAGTTTGGGATGGATTTTTTTTAGTTTGGCTTTTTGCCTACTTAATTATTTTAGTCCGGTTAAAAAATTGTGTTTGAGATATTTTTTATTTGAATTGATAGTTGTGAAAGAAAAAATAAAATGATTATAATTTGGATGTGACATTTTATCTTATTAATTATTTTAATTTTTTATTTTATTTTATTTTTTGTGTCTCTTTATTAACTATTTTAGACAATTTAGCTCACCCCAAACAAGGTCTATGTATAGCACCCATGTGCTTGCTTCATATTTATTTCTTGCATGAGTACTACATAATTTTTCCTCACAAAAAATTGTTGAGAAATTAGTGAAACATCTCTATCTAACTTTTGATAGTAGAAGAGGTTCGATATATTTTTTCCTATTACTTAAGATCACTCAATAATATTATTAGAAAAATTTTAAATTTCTCGATGACAAAACGCTCTGTGAAATTTTTGAAATTTTTTTGTGAAGCTGAAATTTCTTTGTGAAGAAAAATTTCTCTATGCCTAAATTTATCTATGAAAATATTGAGAGATCTCAAGTACTATGAAAATATTATATGTCATTTATTTTATAAAATCTTAATATCATAAATCTTAAACTAAAAACTTCAAAAATTGTTTAGTAATTTTAGAATATTACTTCAGACCACATGTTATTGTCGTAATAGTACTATGTAATTTTTCTCCAGTAAATTTAATACTTTTTGGGATTTGGGACTGCTTAATTTTTGTTAGTAAGTAGTAAAAATAGCGGTTTCCTCTTGTGTAAAATCAGCTTGTAATGAAGCTATTTGAATATTAGATATTTAATAATTAGGAGTTGTTTGGAGTGTCCTAAATAAGTGTATTTTTTGTCTTTTTAAATTAAAAATTTAAGAAAAAAAAGATAGACATTTGGGTTAACTTTTTGACTTTTTACGAAAAAAATATGTATTAAAAATTATATAAATAAGTGTGTAGAAGAAGATAGTGGATTCCGTTGGATATGAGATGGGAAATGATTGCCTACTTTTCCAGTTTGAATTGGACGGTGTTGTTCAGTCCATGGGGGCCTACCATAGGTCCTGTTTTGCTAATCGGAACCGTCAATATATAGAACTCGTCGAGTACTATATATTTGTAAAAAATAAAGTTAATTGGATATCGATAGCTATCTGATCGTGTTAGTTTTTCTTATCAACTGTTAACTATAACGTCATCCATTTTTTATACAAAACTGATTTGATCATGTAGTTAGCGATTTCTAATCAACGTGATTTTTTACAAGCATATAGTTTTGGACGAGTTTTACATATTCAACGATTCGGATTATCAAAATGGGACCCGTGGTGGCCCCCATGGGGCCAACATTTCCGTCCAACTTAATAATTTTATATATGTAATTCTTTTTTTTTCCCCTCACGGTACTAAAGGGTCAATTCAGTCTCGAAAATTATGTAAAGTTTGTTTGATTAAAATATTATGTATATTAATTTTTAATTTTTTTAATTTGTAAATAGTGATAACTTTTTTATTTTTTTTGTAACTTTTTAACTTTTTTAAAACACCCAAAATCAGGCCTTAATATTGTCCAGAATGCTCACAATCGGATTGGTTATTTTGGGATGTAACATAATTTCATGGAGGAAATACCCTTAACAAAATCTCAATAAAATTAAATATTAGGTTATTATGCAAAGTTAGTTTTTTGACTCTTTTTTTTTTACTTTTTTTAAAAAAATGTATAAAAAAATAAAAATGTAACGTGACTCAAAAATTCAAAAGGTTAACTTAACCCAGTTGTCAAAATAGACTACTTAAGCCTTCCATGGAAAATGCATTTTATGAATTAGTGTCTCTATCTCTCAAAGTAAAACGTTTACATATTTTGTGCACACAGTGATTATTATGTTGTAAATTTTAAAAGACATACATGATCTTAAAATGTTATTATTATAAAATTTAAATTTTCATCAAATGCGTAAGACTCCTCCTAGCAATATAACAAGTCTATGTTAGGCGATAATATAGAATACCGTTAACACCATAAAATGTTAACTAAAATTTAACAATGTCACTAGATTTATTCCTTTTTGATCTTAACATCCTACCATCTAAGACATTAATTGCGCTAGGTGACAATATAGAGTACCGTTAGTGCTTTATTAAGTTAACTAAAATTAAAAACTGTTAAGCTCATACCTTGTTGCAACATTCGTTCATCTATAACCATTAATATCTTGTTATAAATGAACTGTTTAAGTTTTTTGAAGACAACTTATAGTTATTTTTGTTATTTTTTCATTATTATTTGAGCCTTTAAGAAACTATAATTATCTTTCCATACAATAAACTTATATTTGTTTTCATCGCTGGGACATAATATAACCAAAATACATGATAAATGTAACAAACTAAATATATTCCTTTTTCAACTCATTCATTTTGTTTGAGATTGTACGTTAATTCAGTTATTCTTTCATTATTATTTGAGTCGTTAAGAAATTATAATTATCTTTTCATGCAAAAAAATTAGTATTTTGTCTAATGAGTGGGGTTGAGGGTTTAATTGGAAGCAAAACCAGAGTTGAATATTTGCAAAAATAAATTTTAATTAAATATATTGAGAAAACCATGATTATTCTGTTGTGTTCCTCTCCCTTTTTCTTTTGTAATGTTTTATTATTATTGATAAAATATTACTTTTAACTAGGTAAGAAAAAAATGGTAAAACCTGATGTTAGATGTTTATAGTGAGGGTATACAACTGTTCAAAAAAAAAAAACAAAAAAAGTTCAAAAATATAGTCAGGTCAGGGTAGATAAGTCATTTTCTTAGGTTGGTATTGGTAACTTATTTAATTATTTGTTAGTTTTACGACATTTTTACCATCTGAGGCCTGTTTGGAAACCATTTCGTTTTCAATTTTCAATTTATATTTACAAAAATTTTAAAAACTATCATAAAAAATTATTTGATAATTTTTTTTTTAATTATAAATGGTTGTCTCCATTTATAAATTTGACGAAAAATTATAAACTCAAAAAATGAGTTTACGTTGGTTTTTAAATAGAAAACGAAAGCCCAAAAACGCGGAGCTACAGTAAATACAGAGCTACAGCAACACAGACCATGGTTCGAATTTGTGGAGGAGCATTTTCAATTTCCCAACTACAATGGTAATATATACGTTATCTCTAACTCTACTCATCTTCTTCCTTCACTTTGCTGTTCAAATAAACCACGATCGAGGCTGGAGGAGAAGGATCAACATCGGATCAAGGCTGGAGGAGAAGTATCAATGCCAGATCAAGGCTGGAGAAGGAGGATGTCCACCCGGTAGACCACCCGGATGTCCACCCGGATGTCCGGCTGATTTCCAGATTTTTTTTTTTTTTTTTTTTTTTTTTTTTTTTTTTTTTGCAATTGGTTTATATAATCGAGAAAAATATTTTCTGAATTTTTTTTAATTTTTTATGTGCTTTAAAATAATTTTGAATTGTATGTTTAGTTATGAGTTGTAAATTTTTGTATCACATATCAAATGTCACATCAATAATTCCCCACTCAAATCAAACCTCTTTTCCAAAACTATTTTCAAAACTCTTTACCAAACAAATTTTCTACACTCAAATCATAATTCCACAACACACAAACTCAAAATACAACTCATACTCTCAAATCACATTTACAAAACTCTACCAAACGCTACCTAAATTTTGAATTCAAAATGCCATTATTTTGGAGTTTGTTTGCTAACTTTAAAATTTTGAAAAATGATATATAAGTCCATTTTTTACACCAATTTTATAGATCTAGTGATGTGTCAAAAAGTTGACTCGTGCAATACACGGGGTAAAACTTACAAAATTCAATTTGAGAACAACATAATCTGATTTGATATTTTATTTTATTTCCACATTAGTAGTAGACTCGTGCCATGCACGGGGTAAAATAAATATTTTTTTGTAAACAATTTTTCAATATTAATTGAATTATCACACCTTATATTATGTAGCAACACACCTTAAATGGTTTACATGCAATGGCAATATGAACATCATGACAAATTTGTCATAATGAGTCCTCAACCGACAGCCTAAACATT